CGCAAATGGCTACCATATTGAAAAATATACTATTTTTGTATGATAATTATGGGTTTTGTATTTTATTTTAATAGAAGTTGATGTTGCTTTTGCAATTATCCATCAATTTTTTAAAATTAAACACTATCTACAGATTTGCATCGAAGCGTTTCTTATGATAGTGATTTTAATCACTGTCAGATTAAATCTATACTGGACCCTACTATGCAATGTCTCTACTATGTTTTTTGATAAAATTGGCAATTTAAGCTGATTCAAATGTTAAAATTAATTTTTTCGACTTAAAAGAAAAAAAATTGAAATAAGTTTAATTTTATATTCAATGTCCATTATTTTTATATAATATTCATAAAAATCAATGTACCCATTATAAGGTATATTAAAATAAATTAAAATACAATACTAAGAATTTTAACACAAAAGTAGCATTTTTTGTGAACATGGTTATCGTGACCATGTTCACTATATCTCGACATTTTTATTTTTCATAGTACAGTATATTACATATTCTTGAATTTAAGATTAAATAAAAGTGACAATATTTCCGGAAAATGTTCAAAAATTGATTTGAAAAAGTTTAACTTGTGTGTAAAAATTGTTATTTTTTATATCCCCTCTGTGGTCAGGTCAAAAGTCAGATTTTTAATAAATTTATATCAAATGAAAGAGAAATATCTATGGTTTCAATATAAAAAAGAATTATTTGGATTTATTAATTTTTTAATAAGTTATGGCAATTTTTAGAAAAAAAAGTTTAAAAACTGTCGAAATTTACCAATTTTAAAAATCGTAATATTTTGGGGGAATTTCACTATTTACAGGGAACGAGGGAAAATTTTTCAATTTTTGAGGGTAATTTCTTCAACTAGATACAATCTGGGATCCTTTAACGTATCGTTGAGAAAAATCGATCTAGTGAGAGCTGAGAAAAAGTAGTGACAGAAACAAAAAAAAAACAAATCATAGTAAAAATAATACCTTCTCAGTTTTGTATTAAAGCTAAAATTGGTCAAAAATTATTAAAGTTTAACAAGAATTAACAAAAGAATGGTTCATCAAACATAATAAAAACAAAATTTATGAAAAATATCATATAATAGGGATGCTCATTAAAAAAAACTAATGTTTAGGTTTAATGTTCTTGAAGAGTTAAAAATAATTATTTAACAATATATTATAGCAGATTTTTTAGTCAAACAATATATTACTTAAAAAAAAATTGAAAATATTTAATAGTTTCTGAAATTATGACTGACTTATTCTAAATTGACCATTCTGTATATTAATAGTAAGATGAATTTTGAAATATATAATAATATATGTATAAGTTATACTCACAATAAAACTCCTTAATTGATTGACCAATGGTGAGGGTGAGAAATATTTTTCAAAAACCGACACTATTTTACCACCATCCATAATAAATTTTTGAGTTATACAAATTAAATAATTTTTAACTAATTAAGTACTCTAAGAAAAAATACTATTTCTATATTATCTACAGGTTTTATGATTATTTGTGAAAGTGAATGAATATTCTATTATAATAAGTACAGAAAAATCATGTAAAATTTTTTTGAATTATTAAAAAACCTACTAACGTACTCGCATAAAGGTTGTTTGACAATTCCATTATAATTTAAGACACCCAAAATGTATGCAAACCATTGCTTTGTGGAACAGTTATTATAAACATGTCGCTCATCAAATCTCTTAAATTATCTACGACATAAATTCGCATGCGCACACATTTTTCCATGCGCTCTACTGTGGCTATGTTGAATTTCCTGTAAGGTTACCGTGTGTGTAAAACTAATTTAATATACTATAATCTACAAAAATAAACAAAGAGTGCATAATTATTTTAAGATTAAGGTGTACTATAATTTTTTAGAAAATAAATATTAATAAAATTAAATTTTTTTAAATATGTAAATTCTTTAAAAAATTTAAACAAAGCCATTAAAATGCAGCTAAACTACTTATATTGGTGTTTTTAAGTGTTTCAACGAACTATATTAATTATCTGTATAATTTTATGAAATTAATATATATATATAAGTACACTCTTGCAGAATGCAGAAGTGTATTTTATGACTTTTTGTTGTTAAATTTTCTTCCCAATAATTTCTGTGTGACAAGTCATATCGTTAAACATTGGTTGAAGGAGTCAATTAATTAATTAACTAATTACTTTATTTTTAGAAGTCAGCTGTTCATAAACCGAAGCCATTAGACTCTATTTTGAATACTCCTTTATACATGTCTGCGCATGGCCGACCTTATTGTATATAATATTGATTCAAGTTTTTCATCTCAACTACTACTACGTTAGTGGTAGCTGGTGTAATAGTTAGAAAAACAATGTAATATCGTTTTTGTTTTCTTAAAAATTCTTACTCCAACTAGAGTTGGTTTAATACTCCATCCTGATAATTTAAGTATTACTTTAGTATACTTTGTATAGTTTAATGATTTCTCTACATCGTTTTAATATATTAATAAACTTCATTATATTCTATAAGACAACAGAAAAACTATTTTTAGTTTATCAACATAATATAATATATACATATACTGAGCGATTGATTTATCATTAACAACTACATTTCTCCTAAAATAATAATTTTGATGAAATTTTTAGTTATAGCTCATAATGGTGTATAATTATACACCATTCTACATACCCACTTTTATGTATTAGAATGCTTGTAACTGAATAAGTACTTGGTCTACTATTTTATAAAATTATAATCGGTCATTTAAATTTCCTTAATATTTAAGAAAATTGATAGGAAACTTCCCGTTTCTCCCGTTTCTCCCTTTTATTTCATTTTAATTATTACAATTTAATTTTATAGTTTTCATTAGTGACCATATTTAATATACTTTTAAATGAAATACATGTTATGAAAAAAAAAATGTATTCATATTTTTATGACGTCCAAGGACAATTACCCCTGTTTCCTCCCGTTAACACAGTTCTGTATATAAAGTATATTGAAAAATCAAAATAATGTTGATATAAGATGTATTACTTTAAAGTATAAGTCAAGTTGAAAGGATTAATACTATCTATCCAATAGTAATTTCTATTTTTATAGTATATTAACTAAGACTAATAAGTATTCAATAGCTAAATTTTTTGTTCGTTAGCGATCTACATAAATTTTATTTTAATTTCGAGATAAATTATAATAAATTATTAAAAATGTTGAGTTATAAGTATTTCAATAAACTTTTTTTTAATTTTGATAGACTGATTTATACAGTTCTAAGAAATGATACTTAATTTTTAATGGCATTTTTATTTAACTCTTTCCCCTAATTAAGTTATTTTAAAGAATATTGAGTTATGACCTTTTAACAAAAAAAAAATAATAATAATAAATGTAATTATAAGATTTTGCTTTTAAATTTTTAATAATTCTGTTAAAGAAAAAATTGAAAAATTGATTTTATGTCTAGTATCATTACAAAATTATTTTTATGATACAAATTTTTACGAAGTGCATAATGTACCATTCATCATGTGCAATATTTTTTCATTGTCATTAAATTTCTATTAGCCTTTTACAAAAGAATAACTCTATATAATTTATACAAGAATAACTCATGCACTAAAGAATTAACTCATATTTTTCTGTTATACTATTATATTAAGTGATTTAATTCATGTAATGTTGATATTTGTTGTAATCATCCTATAATAATCGTTTTTAATTGAAACTCAAGGACGAAATATTCAAGTGGTAGATAATTGTATAATGAGGAGATAGTGTCAAAGGTGTGTGTACTATGTGTTGGTATATCGCCCTCTAGGATTTAGATCCACCGTCGACTCAAAGTACCATGAACGCTGAACAAAAGTTATAAATAAGCCAGTCTCACACACCTCGACTTAAACGTACTACTGACTAGCTATCCCATATTGGGATCATCGTTTATAACGATTAACTTAATTTAAATTACGCTGTTGGAAAATAATTTTATCAGTTATATCATGTCTCTCATTTTAGGGATAAAGTATAAACTGGATTCCAGTGAAAATTTTGATGATTACATGAAGGCTTTGGGTAAGTTAATGCTATTTTTTTAAAATATCAATAAAATTAATGACGGTTTGTTATAAAAAGAAATTCATGTTCTCAATTATGAAAAATATACAGTTTTCTTTAATTTAGTTCGCAATCGAGCCAATTTGTATGTTACATTAAAAATATTTTACTGTATTTGTTCAATTTAAAATAAGCATCAACTTTTTTTTTATAATTTTAAATTTAAATTATTTATTAAGAATATTTTTATTCGTAAAATAAATAGAAAATAATAAATTTGAAATTTAAAATTACTCATATAAACAGAAATTTATGATATTGACGTTTTACAGCCAATTCTAGTTATATTATAAAAATTACGTTATTCATCACTATTACTTACTAAGTATTTTTTTTTTGAAAATGTAAATTTAAATATTTTGTGAATTATAAAAGTAACCAATAGTTAGTTTTATTAAATTGTTAAAACCGATAAATTTAAATGAATAAAATATAAAATATTTAACCTCAGAGTATATAACATTTTTACATCAATCCAAGTAGAACAAAATTAATTTGTAATTAGGTAATAAAGTAAAATCTCAGACAACTTAAATTATAAAATAAAATGGTTTTAATGTGCAAATTTAATTCTCAAAACACCCTTGTTAAAAGTTTAATAAAATAAAATTAAAAAAAAAAATTTAATAAAATTAAAATTAAAAATAAAAATACAATTTTTTTTTTATGTATTTTTTGATATTAAAATTGTACTTTTATATGTGGCATACTAACAACATTATATAATCATAGACATTAATAAAATTATGTTTTCATGATTTCGGTGATAATACCATAATATTTATATAATTAATAGATAATCTTAATCACTGTTTTGATAGCCTTTTTGATTAAATATATTTAAAAAATTTCCATAGAACATTTTCGTTAAAAATTGTAGATATATTTATATTTTAATGAATCCTTTTTTTCAATGTCAATACGATTTTTCTTTATCTTAATAGAAATTTTCAAATTTTATACATTTCAATCAAAATGTATAGACAGTTTTTTTAGGTATACATAAATCGTAACTTTAACTTTCTATAAATCTCCCTATTATATTTTTCACTCCTACTATTTTAAGACTACAAAGAAAAATATACTAAAAAAAATGATAGTAATTTAAAAAAATATATACATTTCTCAATACATCTACAACTTCAAGTTTAAAAATAAACAATGTTTTCAATATTAAAAAAAGGCAATTATTAAATTTATTTTTTCTTTATTTATACAAATTTTTTAAGAATCCTTATCAAAGATCAATGTATTAACTCTTGTCAATAAATTTAATACATAATCTATTAATAACTGAAAATTAAATGATTAAATAAAATCTATAAATACATGTATTTTTGTTTTAACAAACTATATCCTTGGGCTATCATCCAAACAAAACAATGTTATTTACTGATTTTATGTCCCAAATATTCAATGAACAATATCAACAATAACTTTTAATAAAAATATTTACCTTAAAATAATTAAAATTTTTGTAATAAAAATATATTATTAGTATTTATTTTGTTTTATGAAATGACTATTAACAAAAATAGACTTCTTATTAAAAAAGATAGCCTGACCTAGAATATTGAGGGATGTATTCTATAAACTTATCTGTTTTTCTTTTGTAATTGGCAATTTGTTTAATGAAAAATTATATTAATGGGCCTTTACTTTAAGAACCAAAAAAAGGTTATATTACTGACTTGGAATAAAATTACTCGTCATTTTCTATTAAAAAGATATGAACCCCATAAATTTCATTTTTTTTATTAATAGTGCTTTTTTTTTTTTAATTAAAACTGTTATTTTTACTGATGAACAAGAAAGTTGAAAAATGTTATTACTTTTTTAACATAGAGTGAAGTAGGGTAATTGTAAAGGCATTATTTAGATAAATACATTATAGTGATTAAAATCACTATAAAAAAAAAAACGCTTCGATGCAAATCTTTATATAGTGTTTAAATTTAAAAAATTGGTGGATTATTCCAAAAGCTACATGTTCTGCTAGTTCCTTATTAATATCTTGATTAAGATAAAGTATGTCGAATGAAAAAGAGATTATTAAAAAATAGTATTTCCCATAAAAAAATTATATTGATCAATACACTTTTCAATAAGTAATAGCATTATAAAGTTAAAAAGGTAAAATACAAAATCGAGAATTTTCACACAAAAAGCCATTTTCACTGTGAAGACAAAATAAAGTCCGAAATTTTTTTTTTTTTATAATAAAGTAAATTATATTAGCTTTAAATTAAGATATATATAAAAGTGTCAGACTTTCTGAAATACTTTCAAAAATTAAGTGTAAAAGTTCTACTTTCTCTATACATTTTTATGTTTTGAACCCCTCCTGCATTAAGGGAAATGGTCCGATTTAAAAAAAAATTATGTCGAATTAAAGAGGTATATAAATATTATTTTTCGTAAAAAAATTATATTCATCCATACATTATTTAAAAAGTTATAACATTTTAAAATTAAAAATGTAAAATATAAAATTGAGAATTTTAACACAAAAATAGCATACAGTAGCTATTTTCATCGTGAAGACAAAATAAAGTCGGAAATTTTTTTTTTCATAATAAAGTATATTACATTAGCTTTAATTTAAGATATATATAAAAGTGTCAGTATTTCCGGAACACTTTCAAAAGTTAAGTTGAAAAAGTTGTCATTTTGAATCCCCCCTGTGGGCTGGTAAGGGTTAAATTTATAAAAAAAATATACCAAATGATAGGTAAAAATATCAAGCATCTATATAAAAAAAAAAATTACATTCAATTGTTCATTTTTGAAAAAGTTATGGCTTAAGTTATGACGTATCATTGAAAGAAATCGGTTCGGTGAGAGCTGAGAAAAAGTGGTAACAGACACAAAAAAAAAAAAAAACATCATAGTAAAATGAATACCTTCTCAGCTTCGCATCGAAGCTAAAAACAATATAAAATATATTTAATTTCAAATTTATTTTAAGATTGTAATTGTTTAAAAAGGGTAAGAAACTTTAGACAAAATAAATATTGTTAATTATATAAAAATAATGGTGCGGTAAAAATTAATGAAGCAAACTCTACAAAAATGTTATTCTAGTTTCGCCCATGTTTGTTGCTATTAATAAATAACTCCTACTCGACCGATTTTTCTCAACAATACATCAAAAGTTCACAGATTGTATCTAATTAATAATTAAATATTAATTACAAAACTAAAAACAAATACCATAATTTCTCGAAAGTAGTAGATTTGCATTGAATGAAAACATTTATCGGATAAAGTGTAAATTTGTAATTCTACTCTACAAAACCTACCAATAGGCGATGTACTTACCAAAAAATGGTATTATTGAAATAATGTTGAATACTATACATTATAATAATATATGAGTTTTATTGTTATAACCTCACATATAAATGCAACAAATAACATTTACAATATTAATATTATTTAACTTTAAGTTTTTAGTGGAACAAAATAAATTGTATGAATTCGTCTTGCTCGAACTGATTTTTTAAATGTGCTTTAATTACTGAAATCTATTTTAACAAAATTAAAAATTGAATTAAGTTATTTATAATTAAACCCCACTTGAATTTCCATAAATTTCTATTTAATATCAAATTTATTATTTAATAAAATGTGTAACTCTGATAACAATAATTTTTACATCATTGGAAGTAATATAAGATATAATAATTTGAATGGAATATATTATATTTTATCTAACATACGTATAATTAAATATATTTAACACATTTTGATTTCATAATTATAGATAGATATTTTTTTACCGCAATTTTAATTTTGCCCTACATTTCCTTACTCCTTTATTTATATTGTTTAACATTTGGCCAGAAACTTGCCAAGTACTAACTCAGTACTCATTAAGGAATTTTGTGAGAATTGCGACGTTTATTGATCATTCAAAAATTGATCTTTTAAAGATAATTTTACTTTAGAGGTTTTGGCTAAATTTATTCATATTTAAGCAATTGTACAACATATTTGTATGGTAACCAATTTTTCGGAAGAGCCATTTCACATTATAACATAATTTATTTTAACATTTTAAAACGAAATATGGATTAAATGTAGACAGTATATTATCTTGTAAAACAATACAAGTATATATTTTAATGTAAAAACAAAAAACTACAATTTTTTTCTCTAAATTGTCTAGTTGACCATACATTTACTATGATAATTAAACTATAATAGTCTATATATATTATTAATGTATACCTAACAATGATCATATTCAATTATATAAACATTGAAAACTATATTTAAAATCTGAATTTTAAATGATAGGGATTTTTGTTTTTTTAACAATGGATAAATATAATGATTATCTTGCAGTCATTAATTGAATTATTCTGAAATAATAACTATTATTAAATTAAGATAAGAGAAGAAAACTAAACGTTTTTACTTAAAAGAATTTTAGTCAAAGATTTGTGTTCATATAACATGCATTGTTTCAAAAATGTTTGAATTATATTAGAGAAATTAATGTGTTATTATTAATGGATTCATATTTTTGTATAAACAATTATTTACTGTAGTAAAAAATTCATAAGCTCTTTGACCTATGGACTCACTAAGTATTTAGCTCATATTCTCATATGAACCATATATTGATACCATTTGAATAAAATACCGTTCAGTTCAGAGTATGCTGAAGTATGCTTTATAGTGTAATTGTAGCGTTGTATGGCATTGAAAAAGACGAAGGTAAACTATTTTTAATGTGTTTGAGAAGCAAGTAGGAGGGAAACAGTAGAGATAAAAAGAGAATAGTCTGAACCGGTTCAAGCGTTACAATCACATTAATTTGTTATTGAGTCGAGAGTGTATTTAGTTACTTTTTAACTACTCTGAATTTAAAAAAAAATTGTTATTTTGTTTCTAAATATTAATCACTCATCATGGATGCGTTTTTAAATAAGAAATATAAATTAAGCTCTAGTAAACATTTCGATGAATATATGGAAGCAGTAGGTAAGCTCAATGAGTACATTACTTTTTTTCTATTTTAGTTTTGATTTACATGGAAAAAAATTTCTGTTAATTCAAAAAATGATTATATTTCTTCTATTTATTTATTTATGTATGTTTGATTACCACATTTCCTATTGCCTGTAAGTAGTTCATTCAAAAATAATTATTATTTTATGTAATTATTGCAAGTCTTATATATGTTTATAACAAAATTCGAGTGACTTATAGAATTAATTATTTTACTAATATTGTTCCTTGAGTATTTATGAAATAATCATTATTGTTAGCAGGTCATTACTCTACTTAAAATATCTGTTTATTGTTAGTATTTAATTTATATATTAAAACAAAGTAGAATTTAAGTTAAATTATCTAACTTAATATTTATTCAATGCTCTAACTAGATGCAATAATCACAAATTAGATGATAAATTATTTCCCTATGGTTTACAACAATTTTTATGTAAATTTTTAATAACATTTCATCTCAAAATTATTTATTTACTATATTGAATCAAAATTATAGTTATAACTTAAATGTTTGTTTAAACAAAAACAAACTTCGAATTCACTAAAACATATTGTCTATTGCCAGGTACTTCTATACTAATTTATTTTTAAGTATTTTTGTTGTTTTATAACTGTCAATATCTTTTTAGTATGGGTTTCCATATTTTATATACTTTTAATTCTCTTAAATTAATTTTTAGTAGTTCTTTTATAGAAATCATTTAATACACTTAATTAAGAGTACGATCTAGTAAAAAAGATACGCATACAACGCTCCAGAAATGGCGTTGTATTCCATATTGGCCGCAAGCTCACACCGTCAGCCCCTGCAACTACACTCTAGCAACCATCTCTTGTGAATCGTTGTAAACTGCTACAGTTTATTACAACCATAGTAAAATGAATTAGAAGTAGACACTATCATAGTCCGCTTTTTTATCGTTTTACACGCATATGCATTGCTTTGTATTTTTGTGCATTCGTATATGATCGGTAAAACATGATTACTGTCGAATGCACTTTAAAAACACGCTTTTTTCGAATTGATAATTCTGATATGATATCAATGATAGATAAAATTTTCAAAACAACACCACATTCTATCTGTGATCGAAGTTGTGTACACGTCGCTCATAAGTATGCTTTTGAACGCTAACAGTCGAGAACTACAATAGACTTTTACTAACTGTGTCTTCGCGCATTTAATGAATAATTTCATTTGAGTAACTCTTTTTCCTAATATAAAAGTCACAGGAATGAATTATGCTCACATTAGTTTACCGAACCTGAACCATAGTAATCACTTATATATTCATGGACATTTTGTACTTACGCAATCTGATTGAGAAAAAAGGAACCACCGAGATTTATACTTCGTTAACCCGCTTGCACCTAACCTCAAGGCCCTCCAGGACTTTTAATTTTTTTTTTTTTTTGCTCATCAATTTTTTTTCAGTGTCGTATTAACGTAAATATTTTACTTATTATTTTGTGGCTGATATATTGTTTATAGTTGTTTTATCGTAGTATTAGAACTATATAGAAGTTACTACACCTATCATATAATGTAGGCCTATATATATACGAGGGGCCACTGATATTTTCTCGGTTATTCGTCTAGCCTATCATCAGTTCACATATACTTACCATTCCACATGTTTCTCTTCATTTTTTATTTTTATACTCAGTAAACAATGTTATAGTTTCTAATAATTATAATGTTTCTTACTTTCTAGTTATTAATAATATAAATTCCTTAAAATAATATTTACATAATAATTATGGATTCACGAAATTTTCCTATCAATGAAGAATCGTCTATCTGCCCTTTTATCAATCTGATTGAATTACAGCGATCGCTATTACATCAATAAATAATATACTTACTTTGATTTTTGTTATATCTTTTTAGAACTAATTAACGGGCAATTTTTTAGCTTCGATGCGAAGCTGAGAAGGTATTAATTTTACCATGATGTTTTTTTTTTTTTTTTTTTTTTGTTTTTTTTTTTTTCTACACCATTAATAACAGTAAAATAATGGTGGGATTTTCTCACGTTACTAATGCCATCTTCACAAGTTTCCGAACATACNTTTTTTATGTCTGTTGCCACTTTTTCTCAGCTCTCACTGGACCGATTTCTTTCAACAATACGTCAAAAGATGACAAATCGTATCTAGTCGAGTATAGATGATATTTGGCAATGATTAAAATCACTATCATAAGAAACGCTTCGATGCAAATCTGTAGATAGTGTTTCATTTAGAGAAATTGGTGGATTATTCCAAAAGCAACATCAACTCTTATTTCTTTAATTATATTCTGATTAGTAGTTCTTTGATTTTAAAATATAATATATGAATAACTAATTATAGTTATTAAATTTAGTATGAAATTGATATTCAATAATTTAATATTGTAATTTATACGGAGAAATTATAAAAATAATAAAGAAGTTATATTTTGCTTTACTTTTTCGTGTATAAAAATTTAAAGGGCTTGATACAATAAATTTCAATAAAAACTGTTTGTTACTATAAATAAATGCACTGAACTACAAAGAACTTTTATCAGAAGCAAAAATATACTTTTCTAAATCAATTTTTCGGTTGTTTTCAAATCTGCAATAAGACTTTTTCTATAACTTCTAATTTTTTATATTATTACTAATTACATATAAAAAAAAATTTGTTTTAAAATTATTACTGATTTGATTTTTAATATGTTAAAAAATAATCAGTCCAAATTTTCATTTTTAACCTATTTTTTTGGTTCTTTAAAGTTGATGAAAAATTTTTGATAAAGTTTTGTGAAAGTTTATAGTAAAAAAAATTGAATATGTTACCATAACTTTTAGCTCAATTACAAGTTTGAAATTGACATCACTAAATAGAAAATTTTATGAGAATTAAAACAATGCTATTTTTAAGATTGATATACAGTCAGGAAACTTTATAATTACTATTTAAAGTATATTTATCAGAAAAACTCATTAATTATTTGTATTTTTATCATAATAAAACACTTAAATAGAAATTATAGTAATCATTTCTTAGTAACTTTTGGTATTTAAAAAGATTCTACAATTGAAGAAATATCCAGAACTGAATTAATTTTAATGATTTACTTTTACTAAAAAAAAAAAAAGTTATCATTTTGAATCCCTCTTGTGAGCAGGTAAAGGGTTAGATTTATAAAAAAAAACTAAATGATAGACATGCATCTAAATAAAAAAAAATTATACTGATTTGGTCATTTTTGATAAAGTTATAACAGTTAACAAAGTTATAAGTTTTATACATTGGACTACAAGGAACTTTTATCAGAAACAAAAATATACTATTCTAAATCAACTTTTCGCGATGTGTTTCAAATGTGCAATTAGACTTTTTCTATCTTTCTAAGTTTTAATATTATTAAAAAATAGTACTTACATATAAAAAAAATAATTAAGAACAAAAAAAAATTGTTTTACATTAATACTGATTTTGATTATTAAATATGTTAAAAATAAGGAAAATGACATATTCCAACAACTGTATATCACCAGCCGAGATTCTACCTTCGCCGTTCCAGTAAATATTAGGTGAAAGTAGTTTTCACACAGTAACTTTACTAATCAAATAATAACTAGAAATCAAAGTACTTGTTTTTTTTATATTATTACGAATGTAATAGTAATAATATGTAATAATAATAAGTATGATAAAAGCATACTTTACTATTAGTGTAATTAGTGTGTTAAAACTACTATTACCTGATATTGACTGGAACGGCGATGGAGAATCATAACTACCATTTTTAAATCATACATACGGAAAGCGACTAAATGGTCAGCAGTTATAGAATTATTATTTGAGATATGGGTTTTTTATTACAAAGGCAAGAATGAAATGTACTCTTAAAGCAATGTATTCATTTGTATGGTCGGAGAATTACAAGAGTTATTGATATTTTATAAATGATCTAGAAAAGAACATTACAAAAAGTTTTTATTGTTCGTTAAAATTGACTTGTTTCCTTACTTTAACAACTGTAGGTATATAAAGATCATGATATTAACTTATTCAACGAATAATATTTATTATTTGCTGATCTATTCTCTTTAATATTATTTTATAATTTAAACTTTAGATAATATTGGATACAAACTTCTTAAATTTCTTAAAAAACTTATTTAATTGTATTTATACATATTAGTCAAAAATAAATATGCTCAATATGATATAACAATATTTGATTAATTAAGTTTATCCTGCTCCTTTCTTAATAACACGACTGCTAGTGTACTTTGAAAGTTTATACATGGTATATTTATAGTCATCTATACATTTAGAACTTGTTCTGGAGTACAAAACGAAGTTTAGACGCCGATTGAGTAAAATGTCTCTAAGTTTTCTTCTATAATTTTAAGAAACATTTTGACAGTTTTACTACGTAAAAAATATAAAGTAGAACAATTTACGGGAAAGTTGACAAATAAGTATTGTCGCTGGACGGCAATGTAATCAACCATTCAGTTACCTTAAATCTTGTAATTTTAAATGAAACGCAAAAAAGAGCCTCAACCTATTTGCGGCTATAGTTATATTTTAAGAAGAGAAAAAGACAAGGCAGTTAAATTAGAAAAATAAGTGTGTGGAAGAAAGAGCGGAAAAAGAAAGTTGTTGCAACTGATATAAAAGTAACTATATGGGAAGAAAACGCAGAAGTATGAATAATATAGAAGACGAGGACTAGGTTGGCTAATTCGAAATAATTGGGCAAAAAGGCGGAAAAAAAATAATCATTACATAATAATTTAGAAATTAATACATAACAAAAAATAATCACTCTCGTATGTAATTAATTGGTGTATTTGACAAAATCAACAACAAATTTTAAGCTTTCCAAAAGAAAAAAAACCCAGCACAGAGGGGTCGCGGCACAAGTGGTGCCGTAGTATAGTTGGATCAAGTATAATGATATCTGACAGTGATTAAAATCACTATTAAAAATAAACGCTTCGATGCAAATCTTTAGATAGTGTTTAATTTAAAAAAAATTGGTGGATTATTCCAAAAGCTACATGATCTGCTAGTTCATTATTAATATCCTAATTAAGATAAAGTATGTCGAATGAAAAAGGGATTATTAAAAAATATTATTTCTCATAAAAAAATAATGTTGATCCATACACTTTTCAATATGTCATAGCATTATAAAGTTAAAAATGTAAAA